ATTAGTGGTGAGAATTTCCACTTTATCTATTTTGTTCTCGCTATTTTAGCTTCCAATTTCTCAGATGCTTGTGATGATTTTTTGCGCTAGCATGTATTCATAGCCAATTATACTTATTTATTTCTGTTCACGTATGGGAGCACACTTCAAAAGCAAACTTGTTTTGGGGAGTAGGATCATAAATTTCAGCCGCCATTTAACGCACATGATTTGTTTAACCACACGTTTCCTTGACAAATTTATATATCATTATATATAGATAATTATTTGTGGATAATTGCTTCATTTTAACATTTATGGGCAAGTTTATGTCATTATTGAGGTACATGAAATTTTCGGCTATAACTCTCCATCTCTCTCTCTATATATATATATATTTTTTTTTTTTATTATTTATATTTATATTTATAGACATATGTACTTTAAGAGAACTTGTAAGCAATCCTGATCAAATCGTATGCTTCAATGAACCTCCAAGTTGACAGATGTTAATATTCACTGTATAGAGTGAAAAGTTAAATGCATTATCTTTCTAGATATGAAGACCTTTTGTTTGGATACAATCTTTTTTTGGTTGCTCAATGTTAACTGGATCACATTTTCGTAACTTGGTCGGAGCAACAGGGAGACCTTATGAAACCTAACCAGTCCTACGTCCTTTGAACTCGAGTATCCGAAATGGTTTCAAGCACCGGACCGTTGATTGGTACCGTGTGAATAGCATGGCAAGAATGCAGGACTAGGTATCTTCTACAAAGTTTCTCTGTCGCTCCGACCAAGTACTAGAAAGAGGGTCAAACGAATACGCTATTTTCCTGCACATTTTAACTCACATTAAAGTTTTAGTTGCAGGTTTTTCTAATGCAACATAATAACGCATCATGTGAATATGACATCTACCAATGTTTGAACATCATTCCATCTGATTAATTACTAGTTTATTTACCAAAGTTTCAATTAAAGCTCCAAATTTATTGACTCCTTTAGCCTGTATTTAGTGCAATAGACTTCTAATTAACAGTATTCTGATCCTCCCGAGCTGTTAGGTTGGGGCTTTTGCTATAACCTTTTGCCCCTTCCATGGGCTCCTCTAAGCATCCAACTGAGGGTATGTAAATAAAGATAAATAATTTCTACAAAACATGGTTCATCTCTTCACACTAGCAACTTGCTGAGAGACGTAGGCTACAAGGCGCTGCCAATGTGCGGCATTACTTTGAGGATATAATCAGAAGAGTCTATACATATCTGTTACTAACGCCTTTAAACTGGAAATATCTGCAAAATGCTTGCAGAACAGTTTAGCTACCATCAGATTAGTTAGAAACCTGTCCACGACAAAGCGATGTTTGGACAATAACGCTCTGTATGAGAGAGCTGTTCAAAAAAAATCTTCTACTTTGAACCCGTCATAGCAGCCCATCTACGGTAGGCCCAACGAAACAATGCCAACATTAATACTTATTGTATTAGAGTATAGTTTCGAGACTACCAGCAAACCAGTAATATGTGATGTATTTACCCTATTTCGTCTAAGGGAATGAAGGACTGGTAGTAGAATTTTCCCACAATGATATGAATTGGGAAAGCAAGGCTATGTGAAATTGAATGAAAACGTCAGCTCAACTCATATCAATGTGGGAAAATTCTACTATCACCTTAGATAAAATAGGGTGAATAAATCTCACATTAATACGTATCTTTAAACTGATTATATTTCGATTCTATCATTAGACCTTGAGTAAGATTTCTATTCTTCCCAAGTCGCTCATTGTATGGTTAGGATTAATAAAATAGGCGAAGCACCTTTTTTGTGGATTATTAATGGCGTCGAGACCTACTTGCTTTGTACATAAATAATGTAATATGAAATGTATTCACCCAATTTCGTTTAAGATGATGTAGGACTGGGTGAATACATTTTATATTACTGACTTACTGGTGGTCACGAAAACAATATTTAATTCAAAAAATAAATAATGTAGCCTGCTGTCTTGGCGAACACGTTTGTTTTAGGTTAGCCAAACTAACAACAAATTCTAGTTTGTAATATACGGTAACGAAGTGATAGGAGTTATGTATTCGGACAGAAAAACGATCCAAGGCATGGCAAAATTAACTATAAAGTAACGGAACATAAATGTATTGGCATAGTCTTCACTGTCCTCACATTAGATAGTAGATAAGAGGCAGTTTAATTTTACTGTTTGCACTTTGAAATCGTGTCATTTGGGGATTCATTGAAATATGCGCTTCATACAAGAGTGCCTTAAATTTGATATTTTTCTACATAAATCGTCAAAATAAGTGCCAATTGTAACATATTTAGTGAATTTCTACAATAGCTTATAATGGTATACATTTTCCACCTACCAGCGAACAACTTCTTCATCTCTGGCTGGAAACACTCTGTTCCTGCGTGCAGGTCGTCAAAAAGTGGTACCATCCCTGGTCCTTTCTTCGAAGTCCTGGATGGGTACAGATAAAATGTGAATTAAGGCAAGCAATATTAGTTGTATTTTCTTTGCAATTACCCACCCTGCCTCTCCCAATCGCCGGAGAAATCCACGAAGGATAGAAAGAATTTGGAGATGGGTAAAGATTTAAAGTAGTAAATCGGATTAAATGCCAAATGCTAATCCTGACGCTAATCGTCCATCCGATGATGAACATCATCAGAACTGGAACTCGTTCGTCTAAAAGTCTCACGTTTACAAACACCAAGTAAAGAGGACTTTCCGGCCATATCTTATCTCTCAAATATACTCAATTAAGCAAAATAAAATTAAAATTGATAGACAGAATGATTTCTTTCGTATTGGTTCTGCTACTTCTGCTTGAATGTGTGCGTGTGTGTGTTTGTGTGCATGTGTTTTAACGTGTGTAGAAATACCGGTCCCAAGTCAGAATGATGAAAAGAGACTAATGCTAGTCTCTGGCCGTCAAGGCTTAATGATAGGAATAGAAACAAGGTTTCGATGAATCTCCTGCGACAACATTGTTGGGGGACTTTGATGTCGTATGAAAGTGGATGAAGAAGAGATTCGTGGGTCGATCTGACGAGAAGAGGACGAATGACTCGCGTTGTACTGCAGCTGTTTGGGTTGAATGCCACGTTCAGGTTGGCGCAGTCCACGAGTTGAGTAGGAAGTACTTATGCTTGATTGATAGACTGAAGGAGAGAGAGAGAGAGAGGATGTTGAGCCACCGTCCCAAAGAAGACGACCCAAGTTGTTCGCTCGTTGCGGGTTCTAGCTTCACTCACTCTCGTCCAACATGTTCGAGTAAGCTCATCAACCAAACCAGACGTGGCAGATTACGCAACCCCAGTCATGCCTTTCCTTGGTACGTTAAACATTAATTGTTGAGCTTACTTTCATTTCGAGTGAAAGTGTTGGTTGGAGAGATTCGAAGTTCAGTTCCACTAGAAGACGACGGCAGATTGCTCTTGACCAGCTGTCGATTGACTTTACTGGAACATTCATGCTGACGCTGTACTTGATCAAAGAGGTCAGATGTACCACTTTTTAGGGATTTGTCGGTGAGTTTTCTTGACTCGTTAGTTTGAATTTGGTTGTTACGATTTCACCTTGCTCTGTTGATGTCCGTCATATTACGGACGAAAGCTTATTACATTTTCACCGGAATCGAAGAAGATTGCCACGGAAACAGCGCCACCATGCATATTTTAGTGAAGCCAATCGACAGCTGATCAAGACGAATCCGCCGTTGTCTTCTGGTGGAACCGACCTTCGAATCTCTTCACCGCATACCTTCACTCGAATTGGAAGTAAGCTCAACAATCATGAAACAAGAGATTCCTCGAAACCCAACTTTTCTTCGCATACATTAAACATTAATGACCGAGAGGTAAGGACAAGTGGTTTCCTAACTTTACTGACATGCCTAGAAGCTCATATCTCATTACCTCAACCACACTTGCTTACGGACTCACGCAGTCTCAGTCAGGGCTTCTTTGGTCATTAAGCCTTGATGATCCAAGTTGGTCATTAGCCTTTTAAAAACTCTGACTTGGGTTCGGTATTGCTTATAGACGCTAAGACACACATGCACACTCGCACACTCTCGAGCAAAAGTAGCGTTACCAGTAGGAAGGATAATTAGCCAACCCACTCTATACCGATCTTTCTAGATTTTCAATTATTTTGGCTTAATTGAGCCTATAGAAGAGGGTATTCAGAGCTGGATTGCATTCTTGCTCTAGTTTTAACGTGACACTTTTACCAAAATCAGTTCCAGCTCTGATGATGTCCATCGAATGATGGACGAGAGCTCGGCCAGTTTTCTCCCGAAACGAGGAAGCAGTTCAACGCCATTCATCCGCCCCTTTTTTGGTGGGATCGACTAACGAATCTCTTCTTGCAGCACTTTCATACGAAGTGAAAGTCCCTCCAACAAGGCTTAAAGACACAAGAAAAAGACCCGAACGAGACTTCGCAAGCCAGTAAGCAAGTATCGTTGGGATGGTGAGATGTGAGCTTGCAAGCGTGTAAGTCAGCTTACGTATTCCCTAATCTTTTACTTTCAATAGAAGCAGGCGAACTAATGAGAAATGGAGGAGAGGGCGGCTAAAAACAGTAATTAGGACAGCCCAAAATGCTTGTAAAAGGAGCTGGATAAGACGGGTAAAAGTAATCTAACACACAGTTCAGGGATTGGAAGTGAAATGGAATTGTTTTAAGCGAGTAGATTTGCCGATTATGCTGCGTCTTCTGTTAAAGCAAAGTAAGAGAAGCTATTGAAATTAACAAATTAATGAATACTTTGAATGTGGGAAACGCCGGTACAATGTTAAGTAAGAACTACTTACAATGTTGCTTCGAGCTTGTTTGCAACATTTGGCCAGAGCGTCA